ATAAAAAATAAAGTAGGTTTAATGAAATTTAGAAAATGACGTTTTCATAAATTTTTCAGTTTTTAAACCTTTTTTAAAGCTACTTTATTTTTTTATGAATAAGGCCATTAAATTATATTGCTGGAAAACGCCAGACTGCCTCTCAACGGTTTTACCTTGTAATGTTTTTATCATGGTAGCGTGTATCTTTACTTGCCCTAAAAAAACATGAAAAATCGTATTAAACCTGATTTCGAATTTTGAACCCACTCACCCTACATGAAATTCAACGGAATTAGCCATATTTATAGTTGCGTTCCAGGTGCATCACGATTTGCAGGTTTTACAGGATTTGCAGGAACAGCTGTTTTCTCCATTAATAAACCTTATGGAAGGTGGTCACCTGGAACGGCTTCCTGTAAAAACCTGCAAATGGTGAAGCATCTGGAACGCAACTTATGTATGCTGTGAATATAAACATTTTTTCAAATTTTCTGTTGTTCATGAAACGTATGAAGCCTTCGGCACTGCCGCAGACAGCGCTGCTCTTACTTGTTTTATTTTGAAACCAAAAAATATTTAGAGGTCGCTCAAAACGCTCAAAGTTGTTCATGTCTTTTATAGGGAGAAAAAACATCTTTTCGTAGCAATGGTATAGAATTCTTTAAAATCAATATTTTTCGATCTAAACTCTAGTTCTCTTGAAGAGAGTCCTCCCATTGCATTTGTTGGGCTTTTGGCGGACCGATAAAATATAGTTACTATAAAAAAATGATTAGAATTCTTTAAAATCAATATTTTTCGATCTGAACTCTAGTTCTCTTGAAGAGAGTCCTCCCATTGCATTTTTTTGGGCTTTTGGCGGACCGATAAAATATAGTTACTATGAAAAAATGGTTAAATAAACGATTTGGTATTATTATTGCGAATCTCCAGCAGAGAAACAGAGTTTTCCGATCAAAATGTATTTATTTTAAAAAATTCTATACCATTTCTACGAAAAGTGTTTTTTTCCTATATGAAATATGTATGTATGTACCTACAAGGAAAATTTTGAGCGCTTTGATCGACCTCTAAATATTTTTTGATTTCAAAATAAAAAATGGGGGTATATTTTTTCGGTATAGAACAATCCTAGAGTGTGGGAGCATAAAAATTCCGACTTTACTTTTTCACATGCATTTTGGACTACCCTAATGTACATACATATATGAACATACATACCCAGCCAGCAAAATATCCGGAAACGTATCCGAAAATGGAAACAAACGATTTCATTATGAACTTCACAGAGACTTTTTCATAGTTACAGGAAACCAAACAAAAAACAATTTTAAGATTCAGCAATTATTTCAATTTGAATAAATATAATTTTAATATATTGCTTCTGACGGAATTCGATCCTGGGACCTCCTGAAAGCTAACAAATAGTAGCACACTTCTCTGCACACTCAGCTACTGGCGAATACGTATACATGTTTTCAAATGCTCAGTTTGAACAAATATTTTAAAATTATTGTTTTGAAATAAGATGACGACATTTTTCGGATATAAAAATATATGGAAATCGTTTTCTGAACGTTACCGAATACGAAAAATATACGAAAATTGCACTTTCGGCAAAAAGTACGTTTCTCTGCTGGCTGGGTGTGTATATGGATACATCCACAACTTTAGTAAAGAGAACAAATGAAATTTACCAAGCAATAAATTCTTCCGACTTCCAATATTTCGACGGTGCCTCCCAATCCCCGTCTGACCATAGGATTTCTGGTAGGTACTCATTTACCAATTCAATTTGCTCTGGGCGCAATTTTCTATTTACATAATTTTGTTCCAAAAATATATGCAATTTATCATTGATATATAGCCGATTGAACCATTCGAAAAGTGAATAGTATAAACCAAACTTGAGTGTTGTCTCTTTGCGAATCGCGGAAGAAAGTTCACCTGAAAATATTAAAAGTAAGTATTAGATAACTTGCAAGGGAATAGGAAACACAAAACCAAAATACCAAAACATGGGTATTAAAAAAAATCGTTGTGGCGTATTCATAGTCAAAATAAAGTTAGTTGCTTTTTGACATAATTTTCCAATGCTATACTAGAGTTCAATCTTTGATGCGATAAATCGAAAGGCAAAAATGAGCGGTTTATTTTGCACAACAACACTGTTTCTTGGCTGCGAAACCTCAAACAGTTCAGTTCAGTTCAGCGCGGTCTCAAATGAAGATGAAGACGAAGCCGAAGACGAATCGCTTGCGTTGGGGGCAAGCTGGCTAGTGTACATAGTGGAAGATGAATGATATGAAGATTTGTTCCAAAATAAAACCTTTTTTTAGATAAATTTAAAAGAAAGTAAAGAAAAAAACAGCAATTCATGAAATAAATTTGTGTAGGACAGACATTTTTCGAATATATAAGAATGCCAATTAATACGTTTGACTACATTTTGTCAAAAATTTAGCCATTTCTTGAAAAACGCATTTTTTTCACAATTGAAAACAGTTAAATAAAATGTAAACAACTCATCACAACACAGATTCAAGCTGACCGCTTGCCTAAGGTCTTCATCTTCGTCTTCGTCTCCGCTTGCACTGTGATCACTTTCACATGTTTACTACTGCACTGTTTTTCGTTTTCGGCTTCGTTTTCATCTTCATATTCATCTTCGGTTTCGCTTCCACTCTGTCTGCAACCTAAGGCCTTTCAAGCTACCGGAATATCCGACATAATATTTATTCTGGCCTCATTTGCCTTCTACGATGACTTTGGCGAACATAGACTTCGATTGCGAAGACCTCCGCCTGGAATATGGTTGGTCACGAGCCCATTGGCAGACTTTTCTGAAAAGGTGCCAAGTCCATTTCTTTATTTCAAAGTTTGGTAAGACGTAACTAAATTGATTTTTTGTCTCTCCTGAAGAATTAAAAACAAAATGGACTTGGCACCTTTTCACCCTTAGGTGACGATATACGGATGTTCGTATTGTATATTAGCAATAATAAGGTATACGTTTGTACTTATCATCAGGTATATTTACATGTTTGCGGCCGCCGTTATACGAACGCACCGGTGAAATATTCGTGTAAAAAAGGTATCTAAAATATTTGGACTATTACTCATTGTCCCGAAACCTACCAAAATCCATTCAGACGGTACAAAATACAGCTCTTAGGACAGCGACCGGATGCCTCCTGATGTCACCAGAACACCACCTCCACGATGAGGCGAAAATGCTCCCAATTAGGGAGCACAACACGATGCTCTGCAAGCAGTTTTGGTTGGGAGCCACAGATGTGGCCACCCAAATAGACAGCTGCTAGCAGAGGAGCCCTCGCCGAGGCACATCAGGAGGCATCTATATGAACTGACGGACGAAGTCCAGAGGTTCACTAAGCAGCCTCGGGACCTGCCAGCTCACAGACAGGCCCTGAACGGCATTCACAGGGACGCAGTCTCGAGTTATGTAGACTCAAGACCTGTGAATGCCGTTCTAGGCACACAAACACCGGACATTGACGCGACGGAGCTCCATCTGCCTCGGGAGACCAGAACAACAATAGCTCAACTTCGCTCTGGCCACTGCAGCAGGCTAAACTCCTACTTGAGTAGGCTAAATGCAGATGTGCCGAACGAATGTCCGGCATGTGGAGAGACCCCTCACGACCCGAAACATCTCTTCGCATGCCCGGAAAACCCCACAACCAGGGATGAAAAAGTAGGTACAATTGTACCTTTTTCCGACGTTTGATGACTTAAAGGTACATTAGGTACAGTCACTAGATTTTAGGTACAATCATCTTTTGATCAGATGCATTATTAGTTTTTTTTTCTTTTACCGTGCTAATATATTTACTTGTAGGTACGGGAGAACTTTCGCTTTCATTTTGAAGAATAAACAATTCTAGAGAAAAGTGGTCAAAAGGAAAACATACAAAAAACCATATTAGGGGTATTCTCTGAGTCTTGCAAAGCCCTTGCATGGTGCACAGATTGCACGGATTGCACGGTTAAAACCGGTTTTCGTATGGGACAGCTTTGCAAACCGTGCAATCCGTGCACCGTGCAAGGGCTTTGCAAGACTCAGAGAATACCCCTATTATGTATTATCTTAAACATTTTACATTGCATTTAGAGCAGGCACTACGAAAAATTAACACTTTACTTTACTTCGTAATTTTTTTCTATTAATTTTAACGCTTATTTTCACTAAGTAAAATTCAGTGGCATTTGCGGTCAAATGAGTGAAATGGGACTAAAAACTGGCCTTGGTTTGCTTTAGATCAGAATAGGCCTTCATTGTCAAATGGGACTAAAAAATGGTCTTTGGTTTGATTTAGGTCAGAATAGGCCTCTAGGCGTGTACATGCGCTGCTAAGGCGGCTACTTGTAAGTTTTTGGCCCATAATATCATCGATAAAGGTAGGGATAAAGGAAAGAAAGTTGTGTCAAAATAAGTCATCTATACAGTACAGTGTCTAGGATGTCTTCAAATTTCATATTTTTAGACCGCTATTTGACCCATACTCGCTTTTTGTTTTCTGGAAATATATTCAAAATGCTTTCGAAGTTACTTACGGCACATTGATTATATTCTCTAGATTTGCTGCACCTATTAAAAGGAATCGGATAAATTAGCAGACTTCCTGTTGTTTTATAAAAAGCTGGATAAAGAAGTATACTTCGCAAAGTGTGTTTTTTGTCTTTTTCGCCAATATTTTTCAGTAGTCAAAATTAGACAAAAACAATGCTTCTCCGATTCCCATTAGACTATAGTCTATAGATATAGGCTCAGTTGAAAAACCTTATCATGTTTAAAGTACATATATCTTTTGTATTCATGTTTTAAATAAAATTTATAAAAAAAAACTGCAAATGAATGATGTAACTTTTTTTAGGTACACTCTGTCTCATTTAGGTACATTTATTTTGTGATATTAGGTACAATCTGAAATTTCCATTTTTCATCCCTGCCCACAACCCTAACGGCGTCGTCCCTGTGGACCGACCCCATTGAGGCTGCACGCTTCTTGGGGCTGCCGTTAGTGGAACTCGACGACAACGACTGAGATATCAGCCGATCCGGACGGGGTTGTTGTAGCCGCTACAACAACAACAACAACGCAAAGTATGTCACAATGAATGCCAAGAAAACAATTTTTACTGCTATTTGCTGTGGATTTTATATATTAAGCTTTAAAAATATTTTTATTTTATGTTTCTGCATGAAAGCTCGAATTTGGACGAAACAAAATAAATATTGAACTGGCTGATTGTCAACGCGCGCAAAAAGATGGGAGTTGGTTGCAGTTACAACGATCTATGTGGCATGCTTTGTGGGTTTTCATACAATTCATCTTATCTGTCAAAGCGAATCTGTCACGCAAAGCGAAGCAAGCGATTTATATGGCATCAGAGTAGACTTTATTTCGAAGCTCCCTTATGGTTAATTCTTTTTTAAATTGGTACATGATGCAAATTAATTATAGAATGCAGTGTACGTTTTTTTTTTTGGAAATTGAAATACCATAGCCTTAGATATTGTGGCTATTTCGGTGGTGTTGGCTAGATTTTGTTCTTATTTTCTAAGTTTAATTTTAAGTCTCAGCTCTACATTTAATGATAGTAACGATAATAATAATAACAGAGACCGAACCCTTTATGATTTTTATAATAAAAATCATACTTTGATAGTTACTTTATGATTTTTATTTTTTCGATCATTTCTAATAGTTATTATGTGATTTTCATTTTTTTGATCATCGTTAATCGTTACGTTATAATTTTTAAAAACTATTTTAGCAAGTACGTATGCAGGAAGTGGCGGACCCAGGTAGGGGAAATTGGGGAAATTCCCCCCTTTCCCTCCCCCCCCCCCCCCCCGAGACTGTGTAACATGAATTTTCATAATATTCAATTGAATATCGTGAAATATAATTACAAGATTATATTATAGGTTTGTCCCACAAGCTACTTGTAGAAAAACTCGAGCAAACTTCAAACTGTGAGCGTATATCAAAGAAACTCGAAAACTTACTTGGGAGCGCGTATATGTAACTCGAACTGACTTCGAGAAGCTTGGGGAACAAACCTAATAAATGGATGCTTTTGAAAATTTTAATTAATGGAAAAAGTGTGTCAAATTTCACTTGAGTTTGAAATTTTAGCTGTGCGCTAAGCTCGAAGTATTGTGTTATTTAAGTAGGCCTATCAGTTTTTCGAATTCACTGAATTTTCAAAATTTTGAATTATGTACTTAATTTTAAAGTTTTACTTTTTTGTTATATTTTCGAATCTGTATTATTTTACACAGTTGAAAGTCACAGCAAGTTTGAATATTTTCACAGGTTCAGAAAACAGCGAAAACTAATATTATTAAATTTCTTCAGATTTATTATTTTTAGGATAATTTCCAAAATTCCAAATATTTTGAGAATTTTATTTATCCTAAAATCCATCCTGAAATGTCAAACATCACAAATTGTCGAAAAATTCTTATGTTCATGGTACTTGTGTGTAAAAAATCGAAAATTCTTAGAATTCTAACAGATATTAACATTTTTGAAAAATTCCAAAATTTTTCCACTTTTCAGAACTTTTCCAAAATTTTGTATTGATATGACAAAGTGTGATAATTTTAAATTTTTTGAAAATTTTGAAAACATCAACGTCCAAAAATTTTTTGAATCTTCAAGACTTACGAAAATTTTTTACACTTTCAAAAACGACGAAATATGAAAATATTTTCAACATTCGAAAACTTTTAATTTCGTTTGATCAATTTTGTATATTCGACACTTTTACTTAGAAAAAATTTTTTAGAATTCCTAAATTTTCAAAATTTTTGAAAAATTATTATATCATTATATTGATTTATTATTTACTAAAATTTCTAAAATTCGCAAACTTTTGAAAGTTTTGGAATTCCATTCAAATTATTTAAAATG